TAACACTTCATTTTTGCAAGAAGGAAAATATCCTGGAGATGAATGGTGTTGACGTGGAATACCAATGTGTATGTCCTTGATGCTGCTGAATTGTGTGCTGAAATATGATGGAATAGTGGCTACGAACTATCCTTAACTCCAGTTCCAGGGGAATCAGAAGCCCTCTTCTGAGCTCCACGGCATTGCACTTCACGGGTGCACTCACATACATGCAGGCAATACACTCATACACAATAAAATACAAATGACATACTAGAGTATATCTTAAGGAACTAGGAAAGTGGCTGGTACATTCTCAGAACTTAAGAAATATTTTGTAAATAATTGAATAAATGAAGATATTGATATTAAGAAACATTTCCCTAACTGCTCACAGTGATTACTTCCAAACTTCATAATCTCAATTCACAAGTTCAGGATGAACACACTCATCTTTCTTCTTTCTGAAAGTCTCAATGCCATATTTTGTCACTTTCAAATTCATTAATGCTGGAGTTGTAGGAGGTCAAGTTCTGAAGGGACAGCATCTTGACCTCCATCTCAGATCTATTTATGAAGTTGGTGTAATCTTAGGTCAGGATCTCCAAGTGCTTCCTCAGCTCTATGCTAGCGAACATCACCTTTCACATTTCTCATTGCTGTGCTCTGAAAGATGTGGTGTGTGTGTGTGTGTGTGTGTGTGTGTGTGTGTGTGTGTGTGTGTGCCTAACACTCCAAGAGTATCCAATTCATTCTCAGGAAGAAAACTCTTGAAAACAGAAGCAATGTTCTTGCCATTTAAAATCATGATCAGTCATATGATTGGAGTTTAAAATTCTGTATTTCTTGTAAGCACATAACCAGTGTCATAGATTGACAAACCACATTATGATGAACAGGTTTTAGAATGTCAGAACACATTGTGACCAGTTATTTCATTGATATTAGGGCTACAGAATTTAAGATAATAAATCAATTGTTCCCCTGAACAAAATTCCATCATTTGTGAATCTTTGATTTATATACTTAATTCAAAACCTTTCTCCATATCTTAGGTGAGGTCTAGCTGTGTGGATCAGGCTGGCCACCAACCCATGACCTTCTTGCCTTAGCCTTCCAAGAAATTTAGATTACAACCTATTACTGTACCTGTTGGCTATATCTATTTTTAATGCATTTCAGCGACCATAAAGTCATGATTGCAGAATGATATAATACTTAACTTTGGGGGCTGCTTATTAATCTGAATGTTATTTCCTAAGATACAAGGGCAAAGCATTGCAAATGTTGGGCTATACAGGCACACAATATAAATATATCTGTAATTCAGATTTTAAGGTTCTCATGAGGATGCTGAATTAAGAAACAAAAGAAAAAACAAGGATAAAATATGTGGCATATGGAGTATTGGGACAGCCAAAATTGTGGCCAAACTAGCATCAGTGTTATCCTATAGCTGTGGTTTGCATTTTATTTTAAGAGGATGGAGCTTGATAATCACAGTTGACTATATTTTTATTATTATTAAGAACTAAGATAAAATTAAAATTGCAAAGTACAATTGAGGTCAAGTGAGGGTTCTGATATTAATTAGTCTATAGAATTCTTTTTTTATGAAAAATTTAATTAAAGGGCTGCAGAGATGGCTCAGGGGTTAGGGCTCCTCTTGTGGAGGACTTGGGTTCAGCTCCCAGCACTCACATGCCAGCTAACAGCTATCAGTAACTACAGTTAAAGGGGATCTGATACCCTCTTTATGTCTCCATGGACATTACAGGCACAGGAGCACTTGCATACATGCAGGCAAAACACACACACACACACACACACACACACACACACAATAATATAAACAAAGAATTAAAAACAGAAAATTTCATTAGGACACACAGCTTTAGGTTTAATTGCTGCATTTCAGTAGTTTGTTGATTCTCCTTGCCGCCTCTTCAGCATCCTACCTACACACTTGTACCCATCCTGTGATTTCCTTTCTGCTTTCATGACTCATGTGCCCTATTGTCCTTCTACCCTTACTCAACTACTCTTTTCCCCTCCATAGTCTTCTTTAATAGCTACACATACCCCCTCTTATATGTTTATATATGAACACAA